TACCAGCGCTGAATAGAGGGGAATAATCACTTCCCTTGACTTACTGGCAACACTCTTACCAATGCAGCCCAGTGTGCCATTAACCTTCTTGGCTACAAGGGCACACTGCTGGCTCATGTTCAGCTTATTGTCCATTGCTTCTTTTCTGCACCAGCCAGTCAGCTCCCAGCCTGTACTCATGCATGGGATTGTCCCCCCCTGTAAGTGCAGGACTTTGCACTTGTCCTTGTTGAACCTCGTGAGATTCCTTTTGGCTCAATCCTCCAATTAGTCTAGGTCACTCTGAATCCTGTTTCTACCCTCCAGCATATCTACTACTCCCCCAAGCTTGTGTCATCTGCAAACTTGCTGAGGATGCACTCTATGCCATCTTCCAGGTCACTGATGAAGACATAGAACAAAACCATACCCAGGAATGACTCCTGGGGCACTCCACTTGATACTGGCTGCTAACTAGACATCAAACCATTGATTACTGCTCTCTGAGCCTGATGCTCCAGCCAGTTTTCTATCTACCTTACAATCTATTCACCCAGAGCATACTTGCTTAGCTTGCCTGTGAGAATGTTGTGGGAGACCATATCAAAAGCCTTGCTGAAATCAAGGTACATCACATCCACTGGTGTCCCCGCATCCACAAAGCCAGTCATCTCATCATAGAAGGAAATCAGGTTGGTCAGGCATGATTTGCCCCTGGTGAATCCATGCTGACTGTTCCTAATCACCACCTTCTCCTCCACGTACTTAGGAATGGATTCCTTGAGGATCTGCTCCATGATATTTCCAGGGACTGAGGTGAGGATGACCAGTCTGTAGTTCCCTAGATCTTTGTTTTTCCCTTTCTAAAATATGGGAACCATGTTTGCCCTTTTCCAGTCATCTGAGACCAATCCTGATTACTGTGAGTTTTCAAAGATGATGGCTAATGGCTCTGCAATCACATTAGGCAACTCCTTCAGCACTCTCAGGTGTCTCCTGTCCAGCCCCATGGACTTGTACACATCCAGCTTTTCATAGCCCCTAACCTGTTCTTTTACTGCTTAGGCCTCTGCCCCTCCTCCCCAAACTGTGCTGCCCGGTGGACTGGTCTGGGAGCTGTCCTTGCCTGTGAAGACTGAGCCAAAAAAGGCATTGAGTACTTCAGCCATTTCTGCATCCTCTGTCACAAGGTTGCCTCCCCATTCAGTAAGGGAGCCACACTTTCCCTGATTTTCCTTTTCCTACTGACATACTTGTAGAAACCCTTCTTGTTACCCTTCACATCCCTTGCTAGCTGCAACTCCAATTGCACTTTAGCCTTCCTGACTTCATCCCTGCATGCCCAAGCAATGCTCTTATAGTCTTCCATAGTTATTTGTCCATTTTTCCACTTCTATTATAAGCTTCCTTTCTGTGATTTAGTTTACTTAAGAGTTCCCTGCTAAGCCAAGCTGATCTTCTGCCATACTTGCTAGTCTTCCTGCACATTGGGATGGTTTGTTTCTGCACTCTCAGTAAAGCTTCTTTAAAGTACAGTCAGCTTTTCTGGACTCCTCTCCCCCTCAGTCTGGCTTCCCAGGGGATCCTGCCCATCGGTTCCCTGAGTGAGTTGAAGTCTGCTTTTCTGAAGTTCAGGGTCCTTACTCTGCTGCTCTCCATCCTTCTTTTCTTCAGGATCCTGAACTGAATTTTCTTGTAGTCACTGCTGCCCAAGTTGCCATCCACTATACTACATTCCCCACCAATTCTTCCCTGCTTGTGAGCAGCAGTCAAGAAGAGCATGGACCCTAGTTGGCCATTCCAGCACTTGCACCAGAAAGTTGTCCCCAATGCTCTCCAAAAACTTCCTGGATTGCCTGCACACTGCTGTATTACCCTCCCTACAGATGTTAGGGTGACTGAAGTCCTCCATGAGAACCAGGGTCTGTGATTGGAAACTTCCACTAGCTGTTTGAAGAAAGCCTCATCCACCACTTCTTCCTGGTCTGGTGGTCTATAGTAGATCCCCACCACAACATCACCCTTGTTGCTCTCCCTGCTGACTCTAACCCAGAGACTCTCAATAGGCCTATGTCCAGCTTCATCCTGGAGCTCTGAGCAATCGTATGGTTCTTTTACATAAAGTGCAACTCCTCCTCCTCTTCTCCCCTGCCTGTTATTCCTGAACAGTTTGTACCCATCCATGACAGTGCCTCTAGTCATGCGAGCTATTCTACCAAGTCTCTGTTATTCCAGAGATTCACACAGCCAAATGTCTCAGGGTATTTTGTTCTGAATTTGGCTTTTACTGTGAACCAATTAAGGGAAGCATTATTAAGGTCATAAAAAAAACTTGTCCAGAAATACATGGGAAGATTTATTCCACACCCTTTGAAGGAATGGGGTATGGGGCTAATACGCTCTTCTCTTTTACTAGAAATGGAGAAGTATGCTGTTCACTGAGTAGTGTAAAAAGGGAAATTGTAAAATAATAATAGATAAGCACTCTGAAGCAAGCTTGTGTTCGCTATCTCTGTTAGTATTTGGGAAAGCACATTATTGGGAAATATTTTGCCAAACATACATAGGCATGCAGTATGATAACACATTGCAAATTGCTGTTGATTACAAGGTGGTTGTTTCAATTTTTTTTAAGTTTGAAGATTAAAATGAACAAACTGATTAAATAAAAATAAATGAATCAAGTCAGTGCAATCTTTGTTTTATGAAAATAACAATACATAGTCCAAGGTTTGTTATTGAGGAGTATAAAGTGTTAAGTACATAAAGCAATCAGTGCAATCAGCAACTATTTTGAATAGCTTGTCCTGAAAAGAGTGTTCTTTTTTGTTGTTGTTTTACACTTTTTGGCACATGGAGATCACAAAAATCACAAACTCACAATGTAGAAGATAGCAAAAAAAAAAAAAAAAAAAAAAGGTCAGTTGCTGAAACTACTATTATTTTAGAATTGGAAATGTTTTAGTTTAAAAAAGTTGATTTCCAGCAACACACAGCTTTCAGAATCAGTGCCTTTGCTCTTGCAAACTACAGTAGAACATCACCAGCTTATCCTTCACTAATTTTGATGTAGCCCTACTTATTAGGAACTGGGCATGTTCACCCTGATTTACTGCACAGTAAAGCTATTTACCAGGGAGTAAGCAACATCATCTAAATATGCTAACCCTTACTGCACAGTTTTTGCTATTGTAGCAAATTAACTGCTAATTACTACACAGTACGGGATGTGTAGATGGCTGGCCATGAACAAATTTGCCCCAGACCAGCTGTACAGCAGAAGGTGGGAGATTGGTTCCTCCTCAGAAGCTGCCTGCTGCTATGGTGGGCTCTGCCACCCAAGCCTCGTCAGGTGCAATGTCAATGATTGTGATCCTGGAGCTGGGGCTGGGAACAGGCTGGGAGCTATTTTCCAGCCCCAACTCTGCAATCACAGAGCTAGGGCTGGGAACAGGCTGGGAGCTTGTTCCCAGGCCCGACTCTACAATTGCAGAGTGAAGTGGGGGCTGGGAACAAGCTCCTAGCCTGTTCCCAGCCCCTGCTCTAGGATGGCAATTGCAGAGCAGGGGCTGGGAGCTCCCTTCACAGGGAGAGTTCTCCATTCAAACTGGAGCTGACTGGGACCTGCCCCTGATTGGGACAGTTCCTGGCCAGCCCTGGGCTGTGCGGAGAAGTCTGCACGTGCAGCCTGGAGGTGGCTGGGAACTGTCCTGTTTCAGGAAGTCCCCAGCCAGCTCTGGGCTGCACATATAGACTTCCCTATACAGCCTAGAGCCAGCTGGGAGCTGTCCCAGTCCCAGACAGGTTCCAGCCTTCCAGCCCCGTGCCCCAATCCACTGGTGGGGCAGCTAGACGTGAGGCCCAAGCTGGGTGGAGATTCCTCACCCAGCTGGGAGCTCCTTGCAGCTGGGGCAGGAGGATATTGTTTCTGCCCGGGCTCCATCATTGGAGCCCACCCTGGCAGCAGGAGGCTCCCGGGGGCAGGGAGCAATCTCCCAGCCTCTGCCAGGAGACAGCTGTGCAGGTGCACAGCTGGTGCAGAGCTGGAGGGGGTGGGAGCAACTGCTGCCAGCAGCAGCAAATCTGCTCCTGAATCTCTGCACGTGTAGATGCCTGTCCAGGGTGCACTAGAATAAACCCACCCTTCAGTATTTGAACACGTAGGCATATCCAGTAAGTTTTCCTGGGCAGGGCATTTGTACATGCACCCATTGGGAACAAATTTGTTCCCAACAGGAGCATTTCAGTGGGGGGCTACTTCAGCCCTGCTGTGCCCCCCTACAACAGCCAGGGGGAGCTCCAGGTGCCAGAGTCAGGCCCTAGTCTCCAGGGGTATGGGAGAAGCTGTCCTGCCTCCCAGCCCTGTGCCCTGATCTGCAGACCAGGGAATGGGGCTAGGAAAATGTCTCCACTCCAGCTGTTGTTTCTCAGGCTCATGCCCTGATGTGCTGATTGGTGCATGGGGCTAGGAAGCAGTTGCCTTGGGAAGAAACAGTTTTCCCACCCCCTGCAATCTGGGTCAGCAGTCTATATGTGCACTACTGCACGGTAGTTACTGCATGGTTAATCTATGACCTGTATTTTCAGGTAGTTGGCAACCATGCAGTAAACTAATTTACTGCACAATAAATGCTGCACACATATAGACGGTGATACTTTACTGCAAAGTAGATTAGTCTACTGTGCAGTAAGCACCTTGTGTAGATACACCTGCTGTTTAGTAAACACAGTGCTGGAGGGAAGCTGTATAATACTAGGACTCCTTTCACAAAAGGGAGACTTATGTTACTAAGGTCATCTCAAACTCATCATTAATTAAAACTATGTAGCAAATATCTACCATAAATGCACAGAGTATCTTTTATGATGCATTATCCTTTCTTTTTAATTATTTGTTTGCTAACACCGCAGTTAACAAGACCTTTGATTGCTGTGAATCAGTGAGGATCTACTGTACTGTAATCATGTAATAAAATGCTTAGAAATATTTCAGCCTTCATGTCTGAGGCAAGCATAATGAGCTAATTTTCAACATCTGATTTGCTGGGAGATTTCTTAAGGTCTTCTACTGTGAGGTTGGATCTCTTCTGGCTTGGGATAGCAGGCAGGACACGGCTTGTTTTTAGAGGTTCTCCTGATAGACCAGGCAAGAAGGAGTACAGTGAGTGACTCTGAGAAAGTCCTTCTTTCTGGGATTTGGAGTTAAGTGCTGGTGGGAGAATAGTTGCGCCAGTCTTTAAAGAGTTTAGAGACAGGGACTTTGACTTCTTGACACCCTGAGAATCTTGATTAGATGGTAGCTGGACTGAAGACAAAGGAAAAAGATCAAAAGAGTCCACAGAAAATGAGAAACAACAATTTACAATTTAGCCCTTTGTTATGTTGTTTTCTTATTCTTGTACATTATCTGTCTTGTATCGTTGCATATTTAAACTGAATCATTTGAACTTAACACAGTATTAAAGATAAACAAAGAATTCCTAAAGCCATTTAAGCATATCTTAGCAGAACTAATTTAGAGGCATGGATTGGACACATACTCACATACTCTGGTGTAACTTAAATTGGGTTTATATACTGATATAAATTATACTCAGATAAGGAACAGACAGATATGTAGTTATCCTGGGTCAGCTTCATGCAGCAGGCAGCTATTTCTGAGTCCTGTTACTAGGCAGTGGGGAGCAAGTAACAACATATTTGCCTTTAGCACATGATTACCCCAAAATGGATGCAGACAGATGAATCCTAAACCAAAGTAAATTTCACTGGTGGAGTTTTACCCCAGAAAATTATAGGAGTACTTCTACAGTAGACCTGGTGATCTCACTATGGATAGGGGTTTATGTCTTCTGTCTGCCTTACTGCTACTTCTCATAGTGGTGTAATGCCTATAATAACTATCGATGCCTATGATGGAAATATGCGTTCCTGCGTTAACCAAGAAAACAATTTTGATGACAGTTTATGAATATTTGAAGATTAACAAACCATCCTAGATTCAAAGGTCCAGTTTGACAAACAATAAAACTTATGGTTATTTATCCATAGCTTATTTGGGCTAGAGATGTCTGGGAATTTGTCCTCAAGGCCATTTTTCATTAGAAAAATACATATTCATCTACCAAAACTTTTCATGGAAACATAGCAGTTTTGATGCAACTTTTGTTGGGAAAGGCTTATCAAGTCTAGGGTGGCATTTGTGATGAAGCCCAACAACGCAATGACCAAGCCATCTCAGAACAGCTGGTAGTTAGGGTAGTTATCAGTTGGGATGCAGGCAAACCTTGGAGATGGAACTTGAACCTTGTGGCTTGACATCTTGGCGGAGTGCTGTAACCATCTGGCTATTATAGCACCTGAATCCTGCTCTCAGTCTCCTTTCTCTCTTTCAAAAGGTCTGAGTTTCATATTGCTGTAGACCAGTAACATTTTGAAATCTCAAAAAACCTTTGCAGGACAGCAAAATAATACTGCCACAGAAATAATGTGAACCTGAACCTTTGGGTAATCCTTCCTTCCCAACAGTCCCTTGGCTTATTCCCTTTTGTACTCTGCCTGATGGGCATTTTCTTTGCACAAATCCAGATACATTCTACAAACCCTAACCAGGGACAAGAGCCACCTTGCTTAATTTAATGCAAATCTTGCATAACTTCAGTGAAATAGGAAATTAATCCAAACTAGTTTAATGGATGAGAATCTGGTAAATTGATTCATTTTTACTAGGCACAACCAACCCTATGATCAGTTAGTGTAAACGGAGTAACTACAGTGAATGTACGTAAATTGAGGATCTTCAGAAAAAGCTGTTAGCAAACTCAGGGTTAGGTTGAATAGGGGAAGGTCTCAGAGGACTGAAGAAGGGTAAATGTAGTACCTAACTTTAATAAGGAGGACCTGAGGAATTATAAACCTGCAAATCTAACATCAATTCTGAGAAAGATACTAGAACAAATGGTTAAACAATTAATTTATAAGCACTTAGAGCCAGATTCTTTTCCATTTATTAGGCATGTAAGAGGACTCCAGCGAGTGATTTCTAGAGGGTATGCTGTGTTACACTAGTGTGCCATGAGAGGGATGGAAGTGCGCCATGAAAAATGGGCTGAATTGGGCACTGGATGGACCAGCCCTGTGCAGCAGAATGGGGTCTTAGCTCCACCAGCTCTGTGCAGTGGGATGGGCCTCCAGCTGCAGACTGGTGAGTGAAATGAGCTGCCAGTTTTAATCTGAGAAACAGGTGTGCCCCAGGCATCAGAAGTTGGGGAAAAACTAGCTTAAGTGCTTAAGTGTGACTATTCCCCTGTGTACAAGACCCAGAAAAACAGTTAATGCAAAAGGTGGGATCTCCTCCTTCTCCTAGTTGCTTTCTGTGACTCATTCTTAAAGATAAGATGATGTTTTGTTACAAAACTGGATGTTCATGGATTTTCAGGACTTGAGCAGGGTGGAATAGAGAGGTGCACATAGGGACATAAGTCCATTTGGATGCCCTGTAGATGGAATGAAATCTGGCCCTTACAGTATAAAAAAGGAAAGAAGACACAGTCAGTATAGATTTGTCAAGAGGAGCTAGTGTCAAAACAATTTAATGTTCCATTTTTGATGTGGTAACTGGCTTAGAGGATAACAGGGAAGCAAATGTGATATATCATGACTGAATAAGGGTTTTGACCCTGTCCCAGAGGACTTTCTCATATGCAAATGGGAAATATGTTCTACAGTGGTGCCCAAGCTTAGATTTCATAGATTTCATAGATTTCTAGGGTGGTAAGGGACCTATTAGATCATCTTGCCTGACCACCTGCTCTGGGCAGGAAAGAGCACTGGGGTCAAGTGACCCTAGCCAGATGCTTGTCTAATCTCCTCTTGAACACCTCCAAGGTAGGGGAAAGCACCACCTCCCTTGGAAATCCATTCCATATTTTGGGAACCCTCACCATAAAGAATTTCTTCCTAATGTCCTTCTGGTCTTACAGGCCAGATAAGCACTGTAGGGCTGGTCCAGGGGCTAGACTGAGCTCCATGCTGTGTCTGCCCAGCCCTGTGTGCCTAGATAGGGCCCCATGTGGCTTCAGATGACCCCTGTATGCTGGGATTGGGGACTGGTGCTGACCTCATATACTGGATTTGGCCCCTGGGGCCTCACGCGTGGATCAGGCCCCACATCAACCCCACCCACTGAGATTGGGCCCTGTGGCCCAGTGCCATCTCCTCCTGGCCCTTTGTGCCAGGATCGTGCTCCAGGGCCCAGTGCCATTCCTGTCTGCTGGGAGCAGGACCTGCAGACCTAATTAGTGCACATGGTCTAGGGTCTAGAAATTTGGCAGTTGGGGAGTGCTGCCACCACTCCACTGCCACTAAATTTTCGGATGTGGGGAATCCTGAAACTGTATGATGTGGAGCCAGGGCCTGGATCTGACCCACAGGCTGAGGGTTGAGCATCCCTATTCTATAAGATGTTACCATAAAATGAATGTCCAAACAGGTGAAAAATATTTTTTTCAGAGAGCAGTTATGAGTGGTTGCTTTTGAATTGGAGAGACATTTCAAGTGTGATCTGGAAGGGGTCAGTCCTTGATCTGGTTCTATCTGATATTTTCTTCACTAACGCAGATAATGGGATAGAAAATACACTGAATACACTTTAGATGATACCAAGCCAGGGGGGAGGGGAGTTGCAAGGATTTTGGAAGATCAGAATTAAAGTGAAAGTTAATGAAACAAAGTCTGACTCATTATGCAGTGAAAGCTGAATTAACCAACGAGATGAAACTCAAACTTGGCTGAATCACAGTCCGATGGCTGGGGAATTGGCTCCGAGGCTGGACTCAGAGAGTGGTGGTCAATGGAAGTGAATCATGATGGTGCTCCGTGATCAGTGGTGTCCCACAAGACTCCGTCCTTGGACCTGTTCTCTTTAACATCTTTATCAACAATGTGGATTCTGGTGTCAGAAGCAGACTGGCCAAGTTTGCCAATGACACCAAACTTTGGGGTACAGTGTCCACACCTGAGGATAGGAAGGTGATCCAGGCTGACTTGGATAGGCTGAAAAAGTAGGCAGATTTAAACCTGATGATATTCAATACCGACAAATTTAAGGTACTCCACCTTGGGAAACCTCCCCTGCCCCTGCAGCATGCTTGTAGGCTTGGCAGTGCTACGCTTGCTAGCACCAAGGCTGAAAGAGACTTGGGGGTCATGGTTGACCACAAGATGAACATGAGCCACCAATGCAATGTCGCAGCTGGTAAAGCAAATCAAACTCTGGCTTGCATCCATAGATGCTTCTCAAGTAAATCTCAGGATGTCATTCTCCTGCTGTACTCGGCCTGGGAGAGGCCACAACTGGAGTACTGCATCCAATTCTGGGCTCTGCAATTCAAGAAGGATGTGGAGAAGCTTGAGAGAGTCCAGAGGAGAGCCACGTGCATGAGCAGAGGGCAAGAGAATAGGCCTTATGAGAGGCTGAGAGCCATGGGACTCTTCAGTGTGGAAAAGTGCAGGCTTAGGTGGCTGGTGGCTGCCTATAAGTACATCAGGGGTGTGCATCAGGATCTGGGGGAACGTCTGTTCAGCAGAGTGCCCCAAGGGATGACAAGGACCAACAGTCACAAAGTCTTCTAAGACTGTTTTAAGGAAAAACTTCTTTACTGTCCGAACCCCCAAGGCCTGGAATAGGCTCCCTCCAGAGGTGGTGCAAGCACTTACTCTGGACTCCTTTAAGAAGTGTTTGGACACTTATCTTGCTGGGATCCTTTGACCCTAGCTGACTTCCTGCCCTTGGGGCAGCGAGCTGGACTCGATGATCTCCTGAGGTCCCTTCTAGCCTTAATGTCCATGAAATCTATGATATGTATGAAACCTTTTGCCAACTTTATGAAGGAAAAGCTAAATACATGGCTACAAAATGGAGAATAACTGAGTAGATTGCAACACTGCTGAAAAGGATGAGTCATCAATGTGATGCAAAACCTTGAGTGGAATGCTTCTGTGCTTTCTGCCTCTGCAAAGTGGAATCAACCCAGTATTGCCATGCACAGGCCCCCCTGTGCATTTTTCACTAGTGAACTGAGAGTCTGATCTAATTCCTCGTGAAGTGAATGGGCTCTTTCCATTGGCTAAAAATGGAAATTGGAACAGTTCCTCATACTTTTTTTTATTAGATGCATTATACCACGAAGACTGAAGTTCTCCTTACCAGCCTCTTTCAAAACCATTTACCTAGGTAATACATTTAATTATTTATTACTTATCTTTTATTAGCCCAACTGTATAGTTGGGAGAGCTGTTGGACAA